GCAGGGAGGGAGCTGAAGAGAAAACAAAAGATGCACAGTCCGGCCAGGCACAGAAGCATTCGAGACAAACGAGAAACAGCCAACAAACAAATCGTACACGTGCGCAAGAGTCTGCCATCAGTCCCTGGCATGCAATTCATAGTAAAACCAACACACGTTTCTCTCGGCGCACCCGGGCGGAGCAGACACACACATATACACATGCACATCAACACCCAATTTGCCCCACCGGCGGGAGGGCAGTTGATGATTAAAAAAAAAAACGCGGAGGAAAGGCACCGTGGAGGGTACACACAGCGGCGCCGCCGGTGATGGCGCCATCCTGCGCCCACGCCGCCCATTTCCGCTTCGCCCCACCCACCGCGTGGGGAGCGCACGGGGACCACCCAATAAATACAAGAATAAAATAAAATAAAAAATAGTGACGTATTGCAAACCCACAGAAAGCTCGCACGAGATTCACGTCGATTCATTGTCTAGGACTGATTGCGTCCATGTTAATAGCCACACAAACGCACGCTCGCTTTACAAGCACAACTGGACTCACGTTCAGGCCCACCCCGCGCAAACCCACAGCTATTACTGGACACAGCGACGCTGTTACACATGTCACAGGCCACGTACGTCCTTGCTTCAAAGGAACCGCGCAGCATACTTACCCATTATAACTCCACTGCCTCCATACTCTCCCAATTTGCCCCAGACCCGGAGGGCCTATCGCGCCGTAATTCCCTCGTATTCCCAAGAGAGGCATCGTCGCAGCCTTCGGCGATCTCGTCGCCCCTCGGCACCTCCACACTTGCAAAAGTCCCTGGTGCTCTGCGTCCGCGACTGGAGCGCCTGGGCAGCCCGAACGACTGTGTGGCGTACGCTGCGGGTCCTGGGGGTGTCATCCAAGAATTCTGCTGGACTGCATTTCCCTGCTCACGGGGAGGACACATGGGGAAAACTGGGTCCTCAAAGGAGCCCAACCCGCTTCCCCACCTCTGGTTCGCTGCATACCGCACATCGCCGCTCAGCTCCCGCAAGACCATGGGCGTCACCCACTTGGACTCATCGACACCGCGGCAGCAACAGCAGCATATGATAATTGTCAGTGCAAGAGCCGCAATAAGCGGCAGCACCACGGCAAGAATAAGGACATACCAGTGCTTCTGTACCCACGGGACCACCACCTCCTGCGGCGGCAACGTAGTTGTGTTGGTTGGCGGCCGCGTCGTAGTGGGGGTTGGCGGCCGCGTCGTAGTGGGGGTTGGCGGCCGCGTCGTAGTGGGGGTTGGCGGCCGCGTCGTAGTGGGAGTTGGCGGCC